CCAAGCACATGGCAACGACACACAAGGCTGCTCCCAAGTCCCAGCCGACCGCTACGACGAGCCAGCCGAGCCAGACATAACAACCGACCAACAACGCATGGCACACGGCAGACTACCGCATCTTCCACATCAAGTATTCCTAGTAGGTCAATGACCACAGAAGGCCCATATTGACAGGCAGCACAGCCATTCAGCAGTCAATTTGTGTACCACGACCAGTGACCTGCAATGCACTGTCCCTCTTTCTTCTCGCAGCTTTTCTCACACGTCAGTGGTACTTGCTTGTAAAAGGTTGGCGGCTCGCCGGCGAAACCCTGGGCAGCAGCGCTAGGGGTGCTTGTTTGTTTTACATTTTCCTTGTCCTCCATCCTACTTATGCGCGTCCTCGTGGACCTCTCCCCTCAGGTTAGGGGTCAACCTATAAAACACTGGGGTCGCAACCCAAACATTGTGCGCTCTTTACTTTCGAGGTCAAGGGCTTGCCTTCAAAACCCCATCGCACATACAGTTTCGGACACAATCAGGCAACACTATCTCAGCGACAGCTAGCAGCGCACAGCGCACACTTACACATGCAGCCACGGACGCAGCCAAGGAACAAGTATGGCACTCTCACTTTGCTAGTCGTGGAGACGGAGGTTCGTTACTCCTATACTCTTACGCAGCAAAAAGCCCTCACGCACTCCCATTCGTTGTTTTTCCTTGCTGCTGCACCAGGCTATGCGCGAGCAGTCTGCCCGCGCATGAGCCCCAGCAAAGCATGCTTACTATGAACAGGTTGGGGGTTCGCCCACAAAACCTAGGGTGGTAGCCCTCAGGATGCTTGTTTTTTGTTGATTAAATATCGTGCACATATCCCATGTCATCCTTCCTCCTTGTTCGCATCGTGGTGGTCACTGTTACGGCCTTGCGGCCAGCGCCTCCGACCCTGAAGGCCTCGGCCTTCGAGGGTAGCAGGATAGATGATGAGACATTGGAGCTAGAGAGTAGGTTGAGGAGGTTGAGGAGTAGGACAGGAGGAGGAGGTGGTGGAGGAGGAGGAGGAGGAAAAGGAACGGGGGGAAAAGGATGAGGAGGAGGAGGAGGAATCGGGGGGGGAAGGAGGACGGGGGACGCGAAGGAGGAGGAAAAGGAGGATGAGGAGGAGGAGGAGGAGGAGGAGGAGGAGGAGGAGGGAGAAGAGGAGGAGGAGGAGGAGGAGGAGGAGGAGGGGAAGGAAAAGGAGAGGGAGGAGGAGGAACAGCAGGAGGAGGAGGAGGAAGAGGAGGAGGAGGAGGGAAATGAGGAGGAGAGGAGGAGGAGAAGGAGGAGGAGGAGGAGGCGGAGGAGAGGGAGGGGGACTCGGGGCTTTAGTTAGAAAGCAATCACAAAACCCTTGGGATGGCATTCTGACCCGGGACCACCCCCCGGGTCCCCCCCAGGGTGCCCCCCCAGGTTTTCCCCGGGACCCCCCCCGCCCTTGGCAGGGGAAGGTACAGGAAAGGGGCTTCCTTGCGATGTGATTACCACGTTCGATTTTCCTCCCAGGGGGAAGGGAAATGAGAGCCTTGGTTAAGAAATTATCCCAGTGCGACCCTACCTAGGAGTTGGAGCCCCTAGGAAAGCAGCATTAGTAGTAACAGTACAACTAAGCTAAAGCTAAGCTAACGCTAAGCTAAAGCTAAGCTAAAACTAAGGTAAAGCTAAACTACAGCTAAGCTACAGCTAAGCTAAAGCTAAGCTAAAGCTAAACTAAATCTAAAGCTAAGCTAAAGCGAAGCTAAAGCTAAGCTAACGCTAAGCTAAAGCTATGCTAAAACTAAGGCAACGCTAAGCTAAAGCTAAGCTAAAGCTAAGCTGAAGCTAAGCTAAAGCTAGTACACAGCTAATTTAAAGCTAAGCTAAAGCTATGCTAAATCTAAGCTACATCTAAGCTACAGCTAAGCTAAAGCTAAGCTAAAGCTAAACTAACGCTAAGCTAAAGCTAAGCTAAAGCTAAGCTAAAGCGAAGCTAAAGCTAAGCTAAAGTTAAGCTAACGCTAAGCTAAAGCTAAGCTAAGCCTAAGGTAAAACGAAAGCTAAAGCTAAAGCTAAAGCTCCCAGGGGACTGGGGGAACCGCGTGGCGGGGACTGGGGGAACCGCCCGGGGCGATTTCCACTTCCCGGCCCCTTTAAGCTAAGAGAGTAAGAACCCTTCTAGGCAGAGCCTAGGTAGGGAACAAACACAAAAACCCTGGGATGGCATTCTGACCCGGGACCACCCCCCTGGGCCCCCCCCGGGTCTTCCCTGGAACCCCTCCCCCCCGGCAACGGAAGGGGCTTCCCTGCGATGTGATTACCACGTTCGATTTTCTCTCCCGTTGCGACGACGACGACGAAGACGACGACGACGACGACGACGACCACGATCACGACGACGACGACGACGACGACGACGACGAGCGGCACAGCCCCTGTCACACGCCGAACATGGCCGGCGGATTTTTATTATGCGGTGGTGTCGGAGGAGGTACTTACTACACAGGTTCGGGGCAACTCTGCAAAACCCGGGGTAGCAGCCCAAATATTGCACGCCCTTTTTCACACGTTAGGGGTAAACCTGAAAAACCTTCTTGCAGCGCACAGGAAAAGCACTCACACACTCTTTTTTTGTTGTTGTTGCACCAGGCTATACGTGAGCAGTCTGCCCGCAGAGAGTATTATCTACAGCATACGCGTTGACCGCTACCAGCGGAGGCTTATTGCTATTCTAGAAGTGGGGGTGGAAAACAGTATCTTTATTTCTTGCGTTTGCAATGCTCGCATCATGTACCCAGAGGAGGGGGATGATTTGCACCATGATTGGATTAATTTACGGGAAGGGAGGATCCTAAGGTACCAAAGCCGCACTTAGACCTGGCGGGCGCCCAATCACTTGTCTACTTTTTCCCATTGCCCGCTTTCTCATTTGATCCGCGGCGCCCGCCAGGTTCACTTCCTTGCTTGAGTCGAGTCGCGTTTGCATTTTTTCATTAACGTCACAGGGTAACCGAAGGTCGGTTTCACGTAAAAGGATGAGGAGGAGAAGGAGGAGGAGGAGGAGGAGGCGGAGGAGGCGAAGGAGGAGGAGGAGGAGGAGGAGGAGGAGGAGGAGGAGGAGGAGGAGGAGGCTCTGCCAGTACCGGCACCCTGACGGCAGGATCTGCGGCGCGCCGCTGGACCCCTGGGGGCGGCATGCCCGCGGCTGCGCGTGGGCGGGTGGCCGGTCCGCCGCCGCGACGCGGGCTGCGCGGCGCTCGCGGCGTGGTGCGAGGCACAAGGGTGGACCTTGCACCGACAAGTCCTCCCCCACGCAGCGCCACAGAGCCCCGAGGCGCGGATGCACCTCGTGATCCACGCCCCGCGCCTCGCCGAGCCGCGTATGGTCGACCTGGCCGTGGCGAGCGCGCTCGCGCGGGACGCGTTCGCCGCAGCCGCAGCGCGGCGCAGGCGGGCCCGATGCCCTGGGGTGGTCGGGGTGCCCTTCGTGGTGGAGGACCACGGCCGCCTGGGCGAGGGGGCGCTGGCCCTGACGCGGCTGCTCGCGTCCGCGCAGGGCGCGGGGCGTTCGACGGCCATACGGCGACTGCACCCGTCTTTCGGATGCGTCCTCCAGCGCAACGCAGCCGACGCGTCCCAGCGTCGACCCAGGCGCAGGGCTGGGTAGCCTGCGCCAGGCCGGGCGCCGCAGCAGAGGGTTGAGCCGCAAAACAGCCTTTGCGGCCGCTGAAGGCGCTGACTGATTGACCACTGGCTGACGCGGCGCGTCGACGCTGGCCGCGCGCCGACCAATAGCAGCGCGGGCCGGACGGGCGCTGCTGGGCGCTGCTGGCTGGGGGACTGTTCCGCTGGGGCGCTGCCGGGCGCTGCGCCGAGCCCGGGGCGAGCGGCACCGGCGGCGCGCGGCACGGAGCCGCAAAGCTGGCCGACCACCCATAGGTTGGTCCCGGGCGCGAGGGGGAACACCCCGGTTGGGCACGGGCGGAGGCGCGCGCCCGCGCGACGGCGCGGCGCTGCTGCTGCGAAGGCGCGGCCGCTGGCGGCGCCTCCCGCGGGCGGTTGGCTGGCGCGCTGGCCGCCCAGGAGCCCAGGGAAAACGCGCGGGGGCCGCCGTGAGGTGCCCGCGGTCGACGGCGCCATCCTCCCGGTGGCCGCGAAGCTCACGGGTATGCTGTCTAGAGGCCCGGGCTGGCGGACCCTTCCCCCAGTGAGTTCCCGCTGTCTCGAGCAGTCGGTCGCGCCTGAGGGACGCGCCCGGTTTTGAGGAATTGTTTGAAGAATCGGAAGTATACGAAAGCATTGTTCTCGGGATTTCAACGCCACGGATCAACCTGACTGCTGCGCTTTGACGATCCTGAATCGTGCCCGAACGCCATGTCTGGGATCTTAACACCGCGACTCAACATAACTGTTGCGCCCGCATAATTAGTCCTGAATCCTTCCAAGACGCCATTTCTGTATGTTGATCATGGGAAACCGTCAAATTCTTCAAATTGTTTGAAACGATTGTGCGCGGCGGTCATGCGAGAACCGCATTTTGAAAAGGAGCCGCCCTCAATCCGAGAAGTTCTTGCAGATCTTTGAAACACATGTGCGCGGCGTTAAGGCGAAAGCCACATGTTGAACATCACTCGCCCTCAATCCGTGGAACGCTTGCACATGTTTAAAACAAATGTACGCGGCGCTAAGACGAGAACCACATCTTGAAAAATGACCCGCCCTCCATCCGAGAAGCTGTTGCACATGTTTGAAACGATTGTGCGCGGCGCTAACGCGAGAGCCACACTTTGAAAATGACCCGCCTTCCATCAGTGAAATTGTTGCCAATGTTTAAGCTTCACAAACATAAATTGTGAGGACGTCTAAGGCGAAACGTCCGCACCGCCCTAAAACTGGCCTCGGGGTGCGACAGGGAGAAGTTATGACTAAGGATTTAATGGAGGAGGAGGAGGAGGAGGAGGAGGAGGAGGAAGGAGGCGGGTCGACTCCTGGGGCCGCCACAGGCGCTGCGCTTCATGGGCAGGAACGCGCAGCTCGCCTTCATCGCGCTGCAGAACGCCATCGAGGACGAGGGGGGATTGGCAGGGGATCTCGAAGGCGGGTTCGAGGGAGATGAGGGCGAGGGGGTATCCATGTACGCACCCCGCCCCACTCGAACCCTGGGGGGCCTCGCTCTGTTCCAAGCTCACCTTGCCGTGCAGCTACACAGTTTGATCCCCCCCAGGGGCGACCGCTCCTGGCGGGCGGTGTGTGGTTTCTCCCAAAGAGGGCGGGCCCGGTGCTGGCCCAAGAGGGCGAGCAGGCGCGCCCTCTAGGAGTCGCCCCAGAGAGAGGCGGACTGGCTCGGGGGCGTTCTAGGCGTGGCACGACGACCAGACGAGGGTCGCTAGTATGCCGCATGTTTGGGTGATCCAACTCACGAGTGGGGGATAACGAGGGGCGGTCTTCCTTTTCCTCCTTCTCCTTCTCCTCCTCCTCCTCCTCCTGCTCCTCCTCCTGCTCCTCCTGCTCCTCCTGCTCCTCCTCCTCCTCCTCCTCCTCCTCCTCCTCCTCCTCCCTCGTCCTCCTCCTCCTCCTCCTCCTCTTCCTCCTCTTCCTCCTCCTCCTCCTCCTCCTCCTCCTCCTCCTCCTCCTGCCAGGGCATCCGCAGACGCAGTTGGTCGGCGTTGTGTACTACAAGGGGCAGACAGTCCATAGGGGGGGGTGAGGACCAGGGTGTGCCGTTTCCACTGCGCCACGCTCAGGGCCTCGGCCTATGACTGTCCGCGCTTCCTCCTCGTCCTATGCTTTTATTTTCCCCCGTCGGCTTGCCCCTCTTTCCCCCTTCCCGCGTTCTCCTCCCGAGTGACCTACTGCGAGTGTTGCCGTCTGATCCACTACGGGCGGATCTGGCACCTCCATGCCGCGTGACCTGGCCCGGCCCACGCGCTTCTCTTTCTCGGCCTTACCTACGCCGCGCCGCCGCACGCGTGGCCGCGACGCCAAAGAAGTGAGAGTGTGTGTGTGTGTGTGCGCGTGTGAGTGCGGACAGTGTAAGTGTGTGTGTGTGTGTGTGTGCACGTGTGGAGACTACGGCCAGGGCCACGAGGCCTCCCAGATCTCATGGCCCACTCCTCTTCTTTCAGCACGCTCCCCCCTGCCCCCTCGTCCGCGTGCCTCGCGCCTTCGTGCGCAAACGCCCCCCCCCCCTTCCTGGCCGGCGCGCCGGACCTGCCGCGGCCCGTCCTCGCGGGCTCCCCCGCGCTGCCTAGAGCAGCTCGGCGGGGGGTCGGCGCGCCGACATCCTAGCGCGCCCAACCGGCTTGCCAGAGCCCGGAATTGAAGAAGAGAGAATGGCACAAACGAGCAATTTTCGACGGGCCGCGCGGATTTCTTGGATCTGCGGTGGCCCCTCCCTGGCGCACGGAGCGCGCCAGGGGTGTCGCCAGAAGCGCCGCCAGGAGGGCCCTGCGCAGATCCAAGAGATCTGCGTGGACCGTCGAACGTCTGTGTCTGTGCTGTCTTTTCGTCCTCTGCTGGAGCTTGCGGGGGGGGGAACTGTTCGGGCCAGCAGGACGGAGGGAGAAGGGGCCCCCTGCGTCGCCACGGCTGGACGCGGCTCGAAGAGCTGGTCAGTTCCGACCCCTGGATGGAGCCTGGGTGCCGATTTGAGGCACATGTTGCCTTCATCCCTGGCCGATGTTCTTTGGGCCTGTCCAGCTCCAGAGCCCCCGCCTCCAACCAGAGCCCAATGAGGGGGGCTGCCGCTCCAGCCGTGTGCGCGGCAGGCCAGGATAATAGGATAATGTGCTCTTCTTCCCGGGTGCTACCCGGGCGCTACCCGGGGAGCGGGAAGGGGGAGAGCTGGGGCTCCCCAGCCGGTGTGGCGTCCACGACGAGCTGTGATTCAGTGGGGGTTCGGGGTCACCGCACGGTCTTGGGACCCGGGTCGTTCTCCGAGAACGTCTGGGACAACGGGGGCCTCCAGGGTCCCCAAACCGTTGGGTGACCGTGCGGTGAGGTCCTTTGGGATTTCGAGGTTACCGCACGGTCCGTCACCGCACGGTTTCGGGACCCTCGAAGAGCGGGTTGGTCACGTCACGCTTCGCGCCAGCGCAAGGACAATTTGGAGGTCAGCGCGAAGCGTGACGTTGCCTTGGGGGGGGGCGGCGGGGGCCGGTAACGGCCGCTATCGGAATCGTGAAACATATAAGAACGTTCTCGAGGGTATCGACGCCTCGAGGCGTCAGGGGCGCGTGCTGGTCTGCTGCGTACCGGGCGCATCGGGCAGCCACTGCTGGGCGCAGGCCATCTGGGCTCGATGCGTTGGCCATCGCTGCATCAAGGCAGAGGCCTCGAGCATCAGAGCACGTGCGAGCAGCTGGACGAGCGGGTGCAAGCTCCTCCCCGAAACCCAAGACGTGCGAGCAGCAGGACGAGCAGGAAGAACAAAACACCACCGTGACCACCACCGTGACCACCACCATTACCACCACCACCACCACCACCACCACCAACACCACCACCACCACCACCACCACCACAATCACCACCACCACCACCACCACCACCACCACCACCACCACCACCACCACCACCACCACCACCACCACCACCACCACCACCGTGGCCAACCATCGCGGGCGCTCTGAGGCGGAGAACAGGTCTCCCCGTAGTGGCGTCCCAGGTCAGCGTTTTTGCGCCTTCTAGGCATCGGCAATGCGTTACGCGCTTGCCACGAGGGAGCTTCTGAGTGCTGGGAGCATGGTTGCCCGTCGTCGTGCGTATGTAATCAAGAGTGAATGCTTGACGAGTTCAAGAGTCACGTTCTGTTTGTGTGCGCTGAGCTGGCATGCGCAGAGATCTTCACGAGAGGCTCACCTGACAGGAGTGCGAAGAGGAAGGGGTTGGTGACGGGGAGGGGTGGAGGATGAGGGGGGGAGGGGGGTCAATGAGTGGAGGAGTAACCGTAGGGGTCAAGGTAATCAGCCAGCTCGGACGAGGCAGCGAGCCCCCTCCGTCCCCACCCATGATAGAATAGCCAACGATGGCACGACTTGATAGTGGGAGTGCAGCGCGGCCCCGCCCAGCGAGCGGACGGCACTCGTGCACGGCCACGGCTCCGACGACGTGGCGAGGGGAACGACAGACGCGGGCCGCGCACGGGCGGGAGCGGGACTCCAGAAAAACCCTGCGCGGCGTTGCGGCGAGACCATTGGTTAGCATTCGCCCAGGCGACCAGATCTCCAGTGAGTGCGGCGAAGACGAATCACTCACCGCGCCAGAAGCGCGCTGCTAGTTTCACGCACAGTCTACGCGGCGCTGGAGCGAGGACATCAGGACATCATTCCGCCCGCCCTCGCGCAGCCCAGCTGCCGCTTTCACGCGACTCGGCGAGTGAAATATGCTCCGCACCCACGCGGGAACGCCAATTTGAAATATGCACAGGGCCTGGCCGAGGGCCACAGTTCGCCCGCTTGCGCGTGGCCGCGCAACCGACGATTCGACGAATGAAGATATGCGCCGCGCCGAGGCAGGAGTGGCACTTTGATGCCAAATGTGCGCGGCGCCCATGCGAAAGCGCATTTGCGCCCGCGCGCGCGTCGACGACTTGGCGGGCTAAAAGTGAGCGCTGCTCCAAGTCGGGAGCTTCACTCGCAGGAAGCATGAGCGCGGCGCCGCTGCGAGAGCGACATTTCACTTCGCGCGCGATGTGTCTATTCCTGCAGCGCATTTTGCGACGTCGGCGACCTCAGGTCTATGCTGAGAGGAAAGAGGGTGGGCCTTGCGCTGTTTCTGAACAGGTCGGATAGACGGGCTGGGGCTCTCGATCGGTTAGGAGGCACAGTAGGAATAGGCATTCATAGAAAATGTGTTGATAGACACTCATAGAACATAATCCAAATATACACCGCAGAGACATTACGGTGCTGGACATCCATTCGTTGTCGTAATTACCCGCCCCAGCTGCTGAGAGCCGAGCTCTGGCTGCAGGGACAGACAGTGCCGCAGCTCGAGTTCGTGGTGGATTCTCGTACCGTCGCCAACGTGGTGAACATGAACACTTCTTGCGATAATCCAGTATACAAGCCTGCATCTGACCGCATGCTCACGAGATTGGCGCAGCACTACGACACAACATTACAACACAAGGTCGGGTGAATGGCAAATCATGAGTGGAGGCCCCTGGAATGGAATTTGACGGCTGACCAGTTATGCGATATTTGTTTTGGTGTGCAGGTTGGGTTCCGCCACGTGTTCATCGTTGACGTGGACAAGTATATTCAATTCAAGTGTTTCTGATGGAGGGCTCAAAGGCACAATCGGCGCAGCTGCCTTTGCATTGTTTTGGTGGGCTCGACGCAGACAGCAGTCTGAAGTTGGCAGTCGCAGTACTTCTACACCAACAAGAGTCCGCATTTGCTTTAGAAGTGATCCCTGCCGACAGAGCCGTGTCGGAAGTGTGGGAGGCAGTCCGCCGTAGACGCGGTTTTCTCTGCAAGAGAAATGGGAGCCAGAGCAAACGGAACACAGGTACACCACTTGTTTCGCAACTCCATCAGGGGCGCGCGAGAGGAAGACATAGAACATACATTTCAGGATGGGGGGATGGGGAGGCGGAGGGGGAGGAGGAGGAGGAGGAGGAGGAGGAGGAGGAGGAGGAGGAGGAGGAGGAGGAGGAGAAGGAGGAGGACATGGAGGAGCAGAAGAAGGGCGGGTGAGGCCAGCGTGGGAGGCCATGGCGAGCCCCAGCGCGTTCAGGGAGGGGGCCGGCCGGGCACCCATGCAAACGGTGCCGACGCACGCCCCTGCGGCGTGTCCGCCGCGGGCCCAGGACGCGGGCCTGAAGCCGGAGGACTACGAGGACTGTGCGCGCCGAGGAGGTGGACGCAGAGGAGGAGAAGGAGGAGAAGAGCAAGATGAGAAGAGGAGGAGAAGATGAGGAGAAGAGGAGGAGGAGGAGGAGGAGGAGGAGGAGCCGACTGGCGCAGGCAGCTGCTGCCGCTTTTTCTCATCCTCTTCCTGAGTTTGTGGCTAGGCTTCGGCCCATCCGCCTATCGACAGACCGAACGACCCAGGAGAAGAAGGAGGATGAGGAGAAGAGGAGGATGAGGAGAAGAGGAGGAGGAGGAGGAGGAGGAGGAGGAAGAGCAGAAGGAGGGGAAAGAGAGAGAGGAAGAGAGGGCAGGAGGGAGTGAGCCGGGGGGCAGGGGGTGGCAGGTCCGCGCCGCCTCGGCGGCGGCGGCGTCGCCGCTGCGCTAACGCGGAAGGCGCGCGCCCGAGCGGTGGTGCTGAGCGCCCTCGGCGGGCCCGCTGCGGGCCCGGCCGCGAGGGGGGCCCGCAGGGGGCAGCCCCACGGCGCGAGGGTCCGTGCGGGAAGGGGGGTCGAGGGGATCCCGGGGCCTCCAGCGGCGGGGCGACCTTCGGGCGGCTGTGCCGACCTGGAGGCTGCCCGCGCTGAGGCGAGGCCACGCCCACGTGGGGGAACGTTTCGGCTCGTCCAGAAGTCACGCTGGCGCCTGCGTGTTCTTGGCCTTCGCCGCGCTCCTCTTGCTTTGAGCCGTGTCCCAGCAGCTGCGGCTCGCTGGAGCGACGGCCGCCGCAGCAGGCTGGCAAGCCACACCTCGCCTCCGAAGGGGGGGTCTTTGGCCGTTCATGCCAAAGCCAATCCACCCAGGCGGCTTCGACGGTGACGGTGAGCGCAGCGAGCCTTGCAGGGGAGGCCAGCAAGTGGAGGCATCACAAGCATGGGCGTTACCTCCATTATCGCAGCGTGCGCTACATACTGCTATTACGTGTCGTCATGTGAACGCTGAGATCATGTGCGCCTGCATGAACATGCTACGGCATGCATTCCTGGAGCCCGCCTTGTTGGGCACGCCGCGTGGACGTTCCCGTGTTGATATCTCGCGTGCAAGGGATTGGAAGCATAATAGTGTTGTGTATCCTTGACGTTTGCACGGTCGCGGGTGTAGCACGTCCAGTGCCATAACGAACGCCGTTGCCGTCATGGCGAGACCATTATTCAGTTAGTTTTGCACCGGATTTTCAATACTCTTGCACGACTATTCAGCAACCTTCCATACTTATGACCAGCGGCGGCTTATTCCCAGTGTAACCCTTTTCGACAGAGTGGCAGCACGATTGATTCCATACTGGACAAAAGGTGGATCGGGGGAGTGCATGTGAAACGCGCACTGTAGTATGGCTAACCACGGGCTGCCGTGGGTTCCATATCGGGAAGCACCGCGGCACTTGGCAGAGTTTCGCTCCCACTCTTCATGAAAGGAAGACATCCGTCAATACCCCCATGTGCTGGTGACGCGTACGATAGGCTCCATGAGAGGGACCGACGGGGGGAATCGCAACAGAGAGGGGGGAGTGCGAGGGGCCGAGAGGATTCCCACACGGGAGGAGCAGCGGTAGCCGCAGCGGTAGCCGCAGCGGCAGGAGGCGCGGGCCATTGCCGGGAAGTGGGCCCACGCAAGCGTGCCAGGGCAAGGACAGGGGGAGGGGGCAGGATCCAAATGAGCACGACGTCGTGACAAATGATGCGATCCGGGATCTCCAGGGGGCTTCCAGGATTGCCAATGATGCAACCCAGCTGTTCCACACGGGCTGCAGAAATGGGGGCCGCTAGGCACTCTGGTTCTCCTGGAGCGCATCACGAGCCAGTCGTAATGGTGACATCGTTCGCGTCATGGGAACTCGCCTCGGAGTGGAGCGCCGTGGCCGCTTTCCAGGAGGATCAGCAAGCGGAGGGGTAGGCAGAGGGCAGGCCGACCGGCCGCGCCCCGAGGGCAATCCCCGCTGCGCCAGCATCTTGGGCCAGGCGGCAGCTGGAGGGGAGTCGCGCAAGCCATGCCTGCTCTGTGTCTTTGCAGCGTGCTCACGCCGCACCAGCCCCCCCACTCTCTTACCTTGACTCGTTCTTTCCGTCTCCTTTTTACACCTCGCTCTCTCTCTCTCTGTGTCTTTCTCTCTCTCTCTCTCTCCCTCTTTGTCTCTGTCTTTGTGTGTTTCTCTATGTGTTTTCCCTCTCTCTCCCCCTCTCTCTCGGTATCTCTTTCCCTCTCTGTCCTCTCCTGCTGTGCACGACGCGACGTGGCGCACCGAAGACTGCTTATGCTGTGGTGTGAGAGATTGCTATTCTTGTGAGGTGATGCAAGCTGTTACGACGTGGTGTGATGTGACGTGGCGTGGGATATGCGAGTATTTAGGTAGCGTGTGCGTGAATGGCTGGCTCGTCTTGAAATCTTGACGGTTTGCGTATTCCCACCAGATCGTCTTGCATGTGCATTCCGCGCGTTCTCGCGCTAACCATCGTGCGTTGTGCCCCAGCCTCGTTCTGACCGCCCTCTGGACTTTTCCTTGCGGGCCGCAAATCAAAAAAGTATCCCCACCAGCTCATCTAGAAACGTTGCCCAGGCGAGTCAGGGAAGGTTTGGATCAAGCAGTGGACCAAGGACGGGGGGCAGCTGTGAAACCGAAGATCGGGTCAGCCTGAGCAGGCCCATGAGTCAACCATACATTCTCCAAAAAGGCTTGCCCTATAGGAATCCCAGCTCAAACCCTACTAATTGGACCGTTGCCCCCCCCCTATTCCTGTGCCCCCCCCTGATTCCTATGGTTATGGCTACGCCTATGCCTATCCCCCCCTTTTTCCAATGCCACCCCCCCTTATGTATGCTTGCTTGCTTGCTTGCTTGCCCGCTTGCTTGCTTGCTTGCTTGCTTGCGTGCTTGCGCGCTTGCGCGCTTGCACGCTTGCTTGCTTGCCGAGTTGCGGATTCCAAGCGTGCTCGATTCCTCTGATTCATTGAGTTGTCTGATCTATTTGGAATCAACGCTGGTTGACATGCCTTCTCGGACCTTTCGATATGGGAGCCTCTTGGCGGCATACTTGAGAAGCCTTTTTTAGCTCTCTTGGGGGCCTCGAGGGCCCTTTTGGTCCATATTCGAGGACATCGATCAAAGAAGGGTGACCCTGACAGGGCCTCTCTCTTGGAACCCACCAAGTATCCTCTTGAGGCCGTCTCGGGCCCATCTTGGAGCTCTCTTGGGCCATGGTGGGCCGGCCATCTTAGAGTCACCATGGTTCTTCAGAAGCCCTTTGGACACGAAACAACAAGCATGTCCAAATCGTAATCGTGGACTCTCCGTCGAATAAAATCCTTGTTATCTTTGAGCGCAGGCAGGAACTATGAGGAGAGCCACCAGGGCAGAGCAAACTGGCGATCTTAGTTGTGGATAGTGGAGACTGTAGAAGAGGATGTCGCAAAACAAGGAGGCACCCCCTTAGATTCTAGCGTGCAGAAATAGTTCTTTTCACAACATGCGTGTTTCTCTTGCGTGCAGCATTGTAGAGGGTGGGTGTCGCAAAAAAGGGGGGCACCTCCCTTCGGTTTTAGCGTGCAGCAGTCAGCTTTGTCACCAATTGTGTGCCCTTCTTGCGTGCAGCATGCTTCACGTCCTCACTTGCAGCTCCAGTGCTCAGGGCTGGCTCTTTAAGCTAAACGGGGGGTGGGCGGCAATTGGCTTTGAGAGTGGAGGTTCAAAGGCCAGGCTCTATGATTGTCAGCTTCACGGGCGGGACGAAGTTAATCTAGCAGTCCAACGCACTAGAATGTAAGGTTTCAGTCCATCAGCGCAGTTGTAGCGAAGACTTCGCAGGCCTTGACAGTCAGGGACCCCTTTCTCCCTCCTCATCCTGCTTAGCCTCCATCCCCAGCCTCTTCAGACAGCCAGCTTAGAATAGCGACCAACACGTGTGGCGGAAAGGTTGGGGTTGGTGGCCTGGGGGGTGGAGAATTCACAGTCTGGTTTTTCCGTGTGATATTTAGCCTCTTCTGCACGGGCAGGACACAGAAAGGCTATCATAACAACGCACTAAGACGTGTAAATCCTTCCCCTCCCGACTTCTTTTGCTTCACTCCGAGCTCAGAGAAGTGGTTGGTACCTAATGCCAGTGGCGCAGGCCGCCGTGCATCTCCTAGCTGATTGTGTCACCAGCTTGCTGGTGGAAGAAAGTTCAATCCTGCAGGTTGGCATCCAGGAGACTTCTCTGAATTCGGGAGGGGGGCAGAAGATGCGGGGGCGGTCGTGGAGGGTCGGGCACAGGCTTCACGTCCGCACTGCAATGTTTGCCCAAACTTGGCAGATCCTGAGAGTCAGGGACGGCAAGGATCGGTTGAGCCGCACTCGAGATTTTCCAGGCAACATGCACGGCTACATAATAAAAGTCTGGCAGAGTCGCTCGTTGGCCAAGCAATGCGGTTGTTCAGGGGTCATCTCCTCATCATTCTTCTTCCTTCTCCCCTCTGGGGTAGGGCTTGGTGGAGCCTTGCTTTTTCGGCAGCGCTTCAATGGACGGGTCAGTTGCTGGCTTTGCGTGATGCTGGCTTCTTAGAGTCACCCCCCGAAGCGAATGTCAAAACAAATCCTCCTCCTCTTCCTCCTCCTCCTCCTCCACCTCCTCCTCCTCCTGCTCAGGGCGGCACCTCCATCGTCGACGTGACCGAGTCCGTCGGGGCGGTGCAGGAGCAGGCGAAGCGCTGGCAGTCCAAGGTGGGGCCCTACCGCGTCACGCGGACGATGGGTGCCCCGGGCTCTTGCCGATGGCGCCGCTCGGCCCCTTCCAGGGGGGGGGCCGAGGGCAGGGTGGTTGATCCAGCACCCCGGCGGCAGGGGCGGGGCCAAGCCTCGCTGAGGGGGTCCGAGCAGACAGCGCCGCATCAGTGATGCATCGCCGATGCGGCCCGACGTCGCCGATGCGTCGCCGACGTCGCCGACGCATCGGCGGGTGCATCGGCGATGCATTGGCGATGCGGAGCGATCCTCCGACCCCATCTGCTCGGATCCCGTGTGGGGGGCCTCCAGGGGGGGAAGCGGATGGAGGGAGGGCGGAACGGAGGGAGAGGCGGAGGGGGAGGCGGAGGGGGGAGATGGGAGGGGAGGGGATGTGGAGGGGGAGGCGGAGCGGGGGGGCGGAGGGGGGGCGGAAGGGGGGTGGAGGGGGGAGATGGGAGGGGAGGGGAGGCGGGGGAGTGGGAGAGAGATGGGCTGGGAATGGCGTGTTGGCCAGGTGCAAGAGTGTCGCGGCTGGGGTGGTTCCCCAGATCCCTTGACCTGGGTTCGTGCCCGAGTGATATGTTGTGCTTGTACGGCTCATCGCTGCTGGTTTCTTGTGTCTTAATAGTGGACTGGGAATGTGAGGGGGGAGCGGGAGAGGGAGGGGGAAGCGGAAGGGGGGAGGGGCTGCGAGCGGAGTGCGGGGTGATGAGACGAAATGAGGTGAGGCAGCGGCCAAAAGCCAGTGAGGGGAGTGCGGGGAGGAGGCGGAGGAGGAGGAGGAGGAGGAGGAGAGGAGGAGGAGGAGGAGGAGGACTTTGGAGGAGGAGAAGGAGGAGGAGGCGGAGGAGGAGGAGGAGGAGGGCAGGCACCCCCAGACTGGCTCAGCGGCGCGGCCGCGGCGGGGAGCGGGCGTCGTTGGCGAGGCCAGCTCCCTCCTCTCGGACGGGGCTGGGACCAGGACGAGAACGAGGAGGACGAGGAGAGCCCGCCGGCCCGCCAGAGTCTAAGAAACAGCCGCGGACACTCGCGACCTGCGTCTTCCGCACCTTCCGCGCGGCAGGTGCCGCGCTGCCGCGGCCGCAGCGGCGGCCACCGTCGAGGCCGCAGCAGCAGCCGCGGCGGCTGCCGCGGCCGCATCGCGATGGCAACTTCCGCGCGGAAGGTGCGGAAGGTGCAGGCCGTGGACAAGGGAGGGCAGCCCGCCAGAGCCTAGCAGGGAGAGAACTGGCAAACCGACCGAGGGGATTTGCACCAGTTCATCGAGGAGCAGATAACATAAACATGCATTTTCGGAGTTTCGCGCGGATTTCTTGGGTCGGCGCTGGGACCTCCTGGCGGCGCCTCTGGCGCCGCCCCTGGCGAGCTCCGTGCGCCAGGGATGTGGGTCCAGCGCCGATCCAAGAAATCCGCGCAGACCCCCGATGTATGCTATTTTCTATTGCTCGAGTTCGCTCGACATTGGCATCCGAGTGTTCTGGTGCAGTCCCCAGTCTGTTTCGCTAATCCATGTGCGTTTCGCCGGATACATTTGGTTGTTCTTGGACTTCGGTTAGTTGTGCCCCGCCGGGTTCCTTCCACAGTGCGGTGCCTTGTGCACGTGGAGTTCCCCCCAGCAGCTTTCACTGAAGAGCGTTTTTCTGAAGAGTCCTCTGTCCAAGGAGGTGGGAGTGGGTCATGTCGGCGAGGTGCGGTGCCCTCTCGACGGCTGCAACAGGGGCGGATGGCCCAGGGGCGTGCACTGCACGCATTTGCCCGGGAGCCTCGTCGCAGAAATGGGCCATCGGAGCCCCCGGCTACATGTGATGCTCGCCCGCTGTGCCATCCGCTCCCGTCGCAGCCGCCGAGGGGGCGGAGGGGGAGTGTCGAAAGCGAGGTCCAGCGCCCGTAGACCCCACTTCCCGGGTAGGAGGCGAGGACACGAAAGGGGGGGGCGTGCGGGGGTGTCCACGCGTTCCCCTGGGGCTTTGCCGATCCTGGGCGCTGCCTTCGGCGTCGCGCCCGCGTGCGAGGGCACTCGGCTCTGCTCCCTCCCCGGCCCTCCCCTGCCCTGCCCTGCCCTCCGTTTATCCGTGCGGCGCAGCAGCCTTGCTGTGGTGTTGTGCCGCGATCGCCGTTTGGGGAGGTCGTTGTGGGAGAGCAAAGGCCCTCCTCCGTGCCAGACTCCCCGTCCGTCCCTCCCTCCCGACCTCCCGTCTCTCTCCCGTACCCTGCCCACTCCGATCTCCAAGAGCATTCCTCCGCCGTCGTTGCCCGTCGCCCCAGTGCGGCCCAGGCTCCACGGTGTCCGCCGTGCTCTCGTCGTGGTTCAAGTGCCAGGGGCCCTCGTTCTCGATCTCGTCCGCCTGCTCTACTGGCGCGCACTGCATAGGGGTCGGCATGGAGCAGATCATGTTCGGCAAGGCCCGCTTCGGAGTTGCTGGGGCGTAAGGGCGCCCGCTAATGATGCAGTAACCCACCGGGACTGGTTGAGTAGCACATTCCAAGTGACAGCGTTTCGCAGCTTTGCGGGAGCACGCCTCCGAATTCCTGTGGTTGCAGCATTGTGAGTGAACATGAGTCGTGGGTGGCAGTCCGTCCGAGCGAAGCTCGGCTGGGAGCCGGTGCCCTCCCCCCCCCCCCCCCGAAACAATTGCTGCTCGGCCTGAGGCTCCGATTCGTTGACATCGAGCTCAGGGCGCACCGGCAGACCCAGACATCCGACGATGTGATTGTTCTCAATCATTTTGTGTTGTTGGGTCCTCGCTTTGAAGAGGCAGCGCCTCTCCTCTCCTCTCCTCTCCTCTCCTCTCCTCTCCTCTCCTCTCCTCTCCTCTCCTCTCCTCTCCTCTCCTCTCCTCTCCTCTCCTCTTCCTCCTTCCCTCCTTCCTCCTTCCTCCTCCCTCCTCTCATCCCTTCATCCCTGCCTCTGCCCTCCGCATGTAAAAATTGTCGGCGCACCCCTCACACGTGTCGTGGCCCCATATGGAGCTCCACCGAAGGCCAAGGGGGCAGCGCCCGCATGGCACCGCCACACCCATTTCCTCACATCCCTCAGATGTTTCGTGGCTTCATAGGGCGCTCCACCGAAGGCCCCAGTGGCAGCGCCCGCATGGCACCGCCGCGCCCCTTTCAGCACACCCATCACACGTTTTGTGGTCCCATAGGGAGCTCCACCGACGGCCCCAGCGGCAGCGCCCGCATGGCACCGCCCATTTCCGAACAGCCCTCAAACGTTTCGTGAAACCATAGGGAGCTCCACCGACGGCCCCAGCGGCAGTGCCCGCACCGCATCTTTTCGGTACGCCCCTCGCGCGTTTCGTGCCTCCATCGGAAGCTCTACCGACGGCCCCAGTGGCAGCGCCCAAATGGTACCGCCGCACCCTTGTCGGCACACCCCTCACACGTTTCGTGTCGCCATAGGGAGTTCCGCCGAAGGTTCCAGTGGCATCGCCGGCATGGCACCGCCGCACCCGTTTCGGCGCACCAATCACACGTTTCGCGTCCCCAAAGGGAGCTCCACCGATGGTCCCAGCGGCAGCACTCGCATGGCACCGCCGCGCCTGTTTCTGCACACCTCGCACACGTTTCGTGGCCGCATAGGGAGCTCCACCGACGGCCCCAGCAGCAGTGCCCGCATGGCACCGCCGCACACGCTTCGGTACGCCCCTCGCACATGTCGTGGCTCCACACGGCGCTCCACCGAAGGCCCCAGTGGCAGCGCCCGCATGGCACCGCCGCGCTCAATTCGGCACACCACTCACACGTGTCGGGGCCACATAGGTCTACAGGGGGCTCCACGAAAGGCCCCAGTGGCACCGCCCACATGGCACCGCCGCGCCCATTTCGGCACACCGCTCACCCGTTTCGTGGCCTCATAGGGAGCTCCTCTGAAGACTATACAATCTCACAACCGCGGTACTTCCGCGGCCCCAGGAAGGTCTTTACCCCTTCCTTGTTGCTAGTTCCTCCCCCGTGATCCGTTTCTGACGGCCCTGGGCCCGATAACGCCCCCTGGAGGACGCCGTTTGACATTTTTGTTGGCAAAGGACCCAACCATATGCAGTTGTGAGTGCCGCAATTGTGAATATCTTCTTCGGTAGAGCTCCCTATGGGGCCACGAAGCGTTGATGCGGGCGGTAGCACTGGGGCCGTCGGTGGAGCTCCCTATGGGGCCACGAAGTGCTGTACTGAGTGGGGGGGGTGCATGCGGGCGGTAGCACTGGGGCCGTCGGTGGAGCTATGAAGCCACGAAGCGCTGTACTGGGTGGGGGGGACGCATGCGTGCGGTAGCGCTGGGACCGTCGGTGGAGCTCCCTATGGAGCCACTAAGCGCTGTACTGGGTGGGGGAGTTCATGCAGGCGGTAGCACTGGGACTGTCGGTGGAGCTCTCTATGGGGCCACGAAGCGCTGTCCTGGGTGGGGGGGGGGGGGACGCATGCGGGTGGTAGCACTGGGGCCGTCGGTGGAGCTCCCTATGGGGCCAAGAAGCGTGTGAGGGGTGTGCTGAAACGGGTCATGGCGATGATGACGCAGCGGGGGGAGTGAACGCGGAGCGCTGTCTCTTCAAAACACACAACACCACAGGATGAAAGGCACATATAGGAAAAACGCTGGTGGAATAAATCGTATCGTGAGCCCCTCCGCCCACCTCGTGCGAACCCCCCACGGTGCGCCGGCGCGGGCGCCCAGAGAGCGAGGTCACTGCGCCCTCGGCACTGGCCGCCGCCGCCGACGATCGAGGCGAGGCTCGAGGCTCGAGGCTCGAGGCCCGAGGCCCGAGGATCGAGGGTCGAGGGTCGAGGGGTCGAGGGTCGAGGGTCGAGGATCGAGGGTCCGAGTCGGAGGCTCGATCTCGCGCCACCACTCCCCCTGTGCGCGCCGCCAGAGGGAGGCGAGCCCACCCGCAGCCGCCAGGCCGACATGGCCTTCGCGGGCGCGGGCGAGGACGAGTGCTGGGAGTTCACTGCAGCGCCCTCGGCCGGCCCGGGGCGCGCAGCCGCTGCGGGGCGGGCCTCCAGGTCAGCTGGGAGGGGCTCGTCGCTGGCAGTTCTGCCCGGGAGCCACGAGAGGGCGTCGTCCCTCGGAGGAGGCAGGGGTGGTACCGATGCCGCTGCTCGTCCTGGAGAGCCCTCGCCGCCACAGCTGGGCTCTCCTCGAGATTCTGGCCAGGCCGCACCTCGCTGCGCTCCCAGTGGGGGAGGGGGCATTCCGGAGCACTGGAAGCACACACCATGGAACCCGTCCTCCCCCCAACCCGAGATTTGGGACTTCGGGTTGGGAGGGGGTGGTCCGGCAGGTACGGTCGGGAACGCAAGTGTTTGGGGGAGGTAATTCCCGACCGTTCCTGCCCGTTCCCGTCCAGGGGGTCCAGGGCGGGAGCTGTCGGGAACTTCTGCTCAACATGTCGCGCCGCCGGTTTTGGTCCCCCACGAGCGTGTTTCTTCATTGCTCCGAGCATTTTCTTTGGGTGGAGGGCAGAGGGTAAAATCTGAAATGCCGCTTCGCCCAACACATCGCCACCCGTCAACTTCCCTCCCCCTCTCCCCTGTCCTTTCCTTCTCCGCATCCTGCTCCCCCGCTTCCGCTCCACCCCCATCGTTGCCTCCGCCTTCTCCTGCACCTCCTTCTCAGAGGCTTGTATTGCTAAGGCCTTACGGCCAGTGCCGCCGACCCTGGATACCTCGGCCCTCGAGGGTGACGGGATGCGTGATAAGACGTTGGAGGTAAATGAAGACGTGGCGGAGGAGGAGGAGGAGGAGGAGGACGAGGAGGAGGAGGAGGAGGAGGAGGAGGATGAGGATGAGGAAGGGGGAGAGGAGGAGGAGGAGGAGGAGGAGGAGGAGGAGGAGGAGGAGGAGGGAGGAGAGGGAGGGAGAGGGTCGCCCAGGGGGATGCGTATCTGCCCCCCCCCCCGGTGGGGAGGGTAGGGAGGGGCTTCGCCACGACTGCGATTCCTTTTGTTTCGTGTTCGATTTCCTTTTTATTTCGGGCGACGACGATGACGACGACGACGACGACGACGACGACGACGACGACGACGACGACGACGACGACGACGACGACGACGACGACGACGGTGATCCACGCAAGACGACGACACCGGGATGCGTCTTCCACACGCCGACAGGGTCGGCGGATTCCTTTCCTCTGCTTCCCTCTCACCCCCCGCCCCCCTCCACCCCCTCGCCCCCCTCCACCCCCCATCATTATCATCAGCCGCCCGCCCGCGCTAATCGCTAATGGCAGCGGGGGGGTGACGCATCACTTTTCTGGAATCCATGTGCACTCGGCCCTTGACCAAGCCCGCGGCGTCGCCTGCACCTCAATTTGAGTCGCCATCTCTCAATTCAGGCCCCTGTCCCCCATGTTGCCAAGCTGGAGCACGGTGGCTCCACAAACGTGCGCATACTTTCCTCCGAAGCCCGTTCGGGGCTCCAGTCGGAGCCCCCCCCCGCCGCCCCGCGATGGGCCCCCGAATCCCGACCCCCGCCGTTTTTCCCACGTGTTTCCTACCAAACGGCCGGAAACGGTTTTAGAAAGGCAAAACGAATTCTAGAACGCAGAACAAAATTCTAGAACCGCAAAGCGAATTCTAGAACAGCAGAAGTAGTTCTAGAACGCAAAGCAACATACTATAATTTCAAATAGTACAAATTCAAGCGCAAACAAAAAACGGCGAAGTGAGTTCTAGAACACAAAACGATTCTAGAATTCTGGGTTGACCTGTCGGGCGCCAGTCGCGTGCTCGTTCACCCGTCGGGTGCCAGTCGCGTGCTCGTGCACCTGCCGCGCGCCAGTCGCGTGCCCGTTCACATGTCTGGCTCCAGTCGCGTGCTCGTGGCCAGAGAGTCAGCCAGCCACCCAACTGGCCATCCGTCCAACCATCCAGCCCAACAGTCCATCCGTCATCGAAACAACCAGCGAGCCAACCAACCAATAGCGAACCGCACGGCGAATCAGGAACGGGGCGCCGGCAATAGAAGGAAACACATGTCTTAACATGTCAAGAGAGTTCGCGCCCGCCTGCCATTCGCAGATGCGCCGAGCGTGGACCCGTCGAGGCACGAACAACCCACGGGCGACATCGGCGGGGCGACAAAGCCTCGACAGAGCCATCAGTGGTGCCTGACCACCTGCGTGTGCAACCGTGACGTCGTAGCGAAGCCAGCCGCTGCATACACAGAGGCCGCTACACCACACAGACTTCACCCTGAAAGCTGCCCACCCAGAAGACAGATTGGCTTTCGAAGTGCAAAAGCCCATATGGATTTCACCCTCAGCCCTCCACCCTAAGAAAATGCTCATATTGCTTGGGGCATGACGGGCGTCATGACCCCCGCCCCCCCCTATGACGTAACGATCCCCTCCCCCCAGTGCGCTGCCGCCGTGCGCATCGGGATCCGCATAGGTGTCCGCGTAGGAATCCGCATCGCAGTCTGGTCCGCGTTGGGAACCGCATAGGTATGCGCATGCGCATCCGCATAGGGATCCGCATAGGAATCCGCGTAAGGATCCGCATATGGATTCACATATGGATTCGCATGGCAATGTGCATGGGCATCCGCATAGGCATCCGCATCGGGATCCGCATCGGGATCCGCATAAGCATCCGCACAGGGATCCGCGCAGGGATCCGCATACGGATCCGCCTATGGATCGCCGTAGGAATTCGCATAGGGCCCCGTTCTGGGATCCGCATAGGGATCCGAAATTGCGATGTTCTGCTCCTGGTGAAAGCTCTTCCTCCTACTTCTCCTCCTCCCTCTCCTCCTCTTCCCCCCCTTCCTCATCCTCCTCCTTCTCCTCCTCCCCATTTATCCTCCTCCCCCTCTTCCTCCGCATCGCCATGTTTGGGTCAAGCCATTTCGGCGCCAAGAGGCGGCAGAGGCCGGTGTGTCGTCGTCGTCGTCGTCGCCGCTTGCGAAACGCTTTGCAATATTTACGATTCGCATGCGTTTCGCGCCCATCCCAGGACAGCATCGGGACAGCCATATTGATCTATCTATCCGTCTACCCACCTCCCTATCCATCTATATCTCTGTCTACCTTTCTATCAATCTGTCCATCAACCATCAGGACAACCACCAGGACAACCCTCGGGACGACCCTCGGGACAAACACTATCCACCGGGACAACCATTGGGACAACCATCGGGACAACCATCGGGACAACCATCGGGACAACCACCGGGACAACCATGGAGACAGCCATCGGGACAACTATCGGAACAACCACTGGGACAACCATCGGGACAACATCGGGACAACCATCGGGACAAGCATCGGGATAGTCACATCGGGACAACCATCTGGACAACAATCGGGACAACCATCGGGGCAACCATCGGGACAACCATCGGGACAACCATCGGAACAATTATCGGGACAACCGTTGGGACAACCATCGTGACAGCCATCGGGACATCCATCGGGACAACTATCGGGACAACCACTGGGACAACCATCGGGACAACATCGGGACAACCATCGGGACAACCATCGGGACAAACATCGGGACAACCATCGGGACAACCATCGGGACAACCGTTGGGACAACCATCGGGACAACCATCGGGACAACCATCGGAACAATTATCGGGACAACCGTTGGGACAACCATCGGCACAACCATCGTGACAGCCATCGGGACAACCATCGGGACAACTATGGAGACAGCCATCGGTATAACCACTTTTGGGCAACCATCGGGACAACCATCGGGACCAACATCCAGGCAACCATCGGGACAGCCACTTTGGAACAACCATCGGGGCAACCATCGGGACAACCATCGGGACAACCATCGGGACATCCATCGGGACAACCATCGGGACAACCATCGGTATAACCACTTTTGGACAATCATCAGGGCAACCATCGGGACAAGCATCGGGATAGTCACATCGGGACAACCTTCTGGACAACAATCGGGACAACCATCGGGGCAACCATCGGGACAACCATCGGGACAACCATCGGAACAATTATCGGGACAACCGTTGGGACAACCATCGGGACAACCATCGTGACAGCCATCGGGACAACTATCGGGACAACCACTGGGACAACCATCGGGACAACATCGGGACAACCATCGGGACAACCATCGGGACAAACATCGGCGGGACAACCATCGGGACAACCATCGGGACAACCGTTGGGACAACCATCGGGACAACCATCGGGACAACCATCGGAACAATTATCGGGACAACCGTTGGGACAACCATCGGGACAACCATCGGGACAACCATCGGGACAACCACCGGGACAACTATGGAGACAGCCATCGGTATAACCACTTTTGGGCAACCATCGGGACAACCATCGGGACCAACATCCAGGCAACCATCGGGACAACCACTTTGGAACAACCATCGGGGCAACCATCGGGACAACCATCGGGACAACCATCGGGACATCCATCGGGACAACCATCGGGACAACCATCGGTATAACCACTTTTGGACAACCATCAGGGCAACCATCGGGACAAGCATCGGGATAGTCACATCGGGACAACCATCTGGACAACAATCGGGACAACCATCGGGGCAACCATCGGGACAACCATCGGGACAACCATCGGAACAATTATCGGGACAACCGTTGGGACAACCATCGGGACAACCATCGTGACAGCCATCGGGACAACTATCGGGACAACCCTGGGACAACCATCGGGACAACATCGGGACAACCATCGGGACAACCATCGGGACAAACATCGGGACAACCATCGGGACAACCATCGGGACAACCGTTGGGACAACCATCGGGACAACCATCGGGACAACCATCGGAACAATTATCGGGACAACCGTTGGGACAACCATCGGGACAACCATCGTGACAGCCATCGGGACAACCATCGGGACAACCGTCGGGACAACCATCGGTACAACCACTTTTGGGCAACCATCGGGACAACCATCGGGACCAACATCCAGGCAACCATCGGGACAACCACTTTGGAACAACTATCGGGGCAACCATCGGGACAACCATCGGGACAACC